AATTAAGTACAAATTTATAGATGAGTGAAAGGAGGTTTAATAGAGTAGAGGAAGGAGAAGGGGAGAAGGGAGGGAGGAAGAGAGAAAAAAGTGGAAAGAGGGGAGATCATGAACTAAAATAGAATTCCAGGCAAGTATGAGTGTGTCAGGATGAACCCAACTACCATGCATAACTGTAAATGTATGACTGTAAAGCTCTAATAAAAGAAAAATTAAAATAATAATAATAATAAAAAGAACAGCCCAGTTGCTGGGCATGGTGGTGCGTATTTATAATCCCATTAACTTGGAAGGCTGGAACAGGAGCATCACGTGTTCAAGGTCAGCTTTAGCAACTCAGTGAGGCCCTATATAAACATAAAAAATAAAAAAGACAGGTTTATAGTTCAGCAGTTCAATCCCCAGTAACACCCCCCAACATACACACACAAATAGCCCAGTTAGTGGTATACCTGCCACTTGTAGTCAGCTTTCGTCTTGCTGTGATCAAAATACCTGACAAGAACAATTGAGAGAAACAAAAGGTTTATTTGAGGCTCACAGTTTCAGAGGTTTCAGTCCATAAATGATTGATTTCATTGCTTAGTACCAAGATGAGGCAGGTCATTATGACAGAAGGACCACTGGGAGGAGGAAAGATGGTGGGATCGGGAAGCAAAGAGAAGAGTGAGGAAAGATTTACCCTTCCAGGGGACACTCCCAGTGGCCCACCTCCTCCAGTCACACTCCACCTGACTACAGTTACCACCCCTTCAGTCCATTCAATCTAGAATGGACTGATTGGGTTAAAGCCTTCACAGTCCCACCATTTGACTTCTGAACACTCCCACATAAATAAAGGAGTTTTGGGGGGATGCCTCATATCCAAACCATAACAATGCCCGTTTCTCCTTATATATTTTAAACTCCCTATCTCCAGGAAACAGGGTTATGTATGATCCATTTTTTATTTCCATCAGCTCCCATGCACATGACAGTCTGACAACATGTTTAAAAGGACCTTATTTCTGCAGCCTGTAATTATGGTGATTGCCCTGAGACACTTTAACAAAGTCTGACAAATTTCTTTTTTCAGTAATGTGGATCAAACCCAGAACTTTGTACATACTAGGCAAGTGCTCTGCCGCTGAGTTATATATCTCCAGGTTTTTTAAATTTTTATTTTCAGACACTGTTTCACTGAATTGCCCAGGCCAGCTTCAAACTTGGAAATCTTCCTGCCTCAGCCTCCTGAGTAGCTAAGACTACAGGCATGCTCTACCATACTGGGTTACCGGTCTTATTTCCAAATGTCTTTGCTGGTAGTCCAATTACAGCTCTTTATCCCCTCTTTCTACTTTTCTGCTTTTCATCTCTGCCCTGCCCTAAGTCCTATCAGGCATCTCTCACTATCCTGATGTCCCACCTTCCTCTTTCCTACCCTCTTCTCTGGATTGCAAGAACGGGTAGAGGTGACCATTCAAGCTCCTTTTTTCTTCCTTTTTTTTGTGGGGGCAAGGGGAACCAGGGGTTGAACTCAGGGGTACTTGACCACTGAGCCACATCCCCAGCCCTATTTTTGTATTTTATTTAAAGACAAGCTCTGAGTTGTTTAGCACCTTGCTTTTTGCTGAGGCTGGTTTTGAACTTGAATTCTCCTGCCTCAGTCTTCCAAGCCCCTGTGATTACAGGCATTTACTACCATGACCAGCCCATTCCAATTTCTTAAAAGACTTCTGTCCTGTTCCTCCGTGCCTATTCTATTATATCCACTGCCGGACAGCTGTGGTGTGCATTGGGTATAACACTGTAAGATACACAAACACTGACTTTAAGGCACTAATGAGACTTCACAGAGCATCTAGTAGATAACTCTGTAACTTGCGGCCAAGAACACTGACACTCAAAGAGAGGTGAGCAGACTTGTCCAAGGTCATGTAAGCAGTTGCTGCGGCCTTTTGAACCCACTGCTTTTCCACTTTTCATTGCCTCTGTGAAGAGAGCTTTATATATTATCTCTCATAATTTTGAAACAATCTCCCCATAAAAGCCCATTTTACAACCCTTGCTCATTTTATCAAGTGCCAGTCATTGCTCCAATTTTTGATTGCTGAATGTGCTATGTTTTTCTATGTTTGCTAACTAGGTTTTCATGTATTGTAAATAATGTAGAAGGACAATGTCTCACATATGGGAACTAAATATTGGTCCTTATTTTGTCAGATAATTGTAAAATAATAACCACCTGGGAAAAATCAGATATAGTTTTCTATGCCATATTGTCTTCAATAGCATTGGGTTTGATTAACATGGGGAGAAAAGCTGAAATGAGAAAAAGGAAGAGGGTTATTTACATCCTGCTTTGTTTGTATGTCCTCAAAGCAGCTGTAATGCTGCACAATTTCAATGATTGTCACAAAATTGGTAGTTCTCAGCAGCACCTAAGATTCTCCATTGACCTGATTGTTCCTGGAATTCATTATAAAACAAAGATAAGGATAATTTTCCTGAGATTATTGTCAAGCGTCTGATTGTATAAGCAACTACCATTTTCAGGTGTTTTCTGAGCATAAAAGCACAGCAAACAGAAAACTGTGATTAGGAGAAATCCATAAAACATGTTATATTCAAATCTCTTAGTATATGCCTGTATTTGTTATTATTTTAATTCAAAATTCAAAGAAGACAGAAACTATATCTCTTTAGATTCACCTTTATTTAATACTCTCATCTTAAAGCTTATGTAAATATTCTTTCTACCTCTTGTATTTGGTATGTATTAAGTGTAGTGTAGTGTGTGTGTGAGTGTGTGTGTGTGTCTGTAATCTTCTAAACATGCATGAACCATTTCCAAAATAAACTCTCTTACCCAGCATCTAAAAAGTATATTCAGTCACAAATAGAAGTTTAGTGAGTAATATGAGTTTAATTGCATGACCATTCAAGTGATAACTTGTTTCCCTCATTCTACATTAAGTGTCATCAACTCATTTTGCCCCACTGTACCAGATGTGGGACACTTATAAAAACATAAACAGTATATAATACATAATGTAATTATTATGGTTAATAATGATTATAATTATTAAAATATTAATTAGTATAATAATATACAAATCTCTAGATTATGATTTGCAACCTATTTTAGTGCACCTGTGTCAATTGCATTGAAACATTTGCAGAATTAAAAACTTGGAACTTAGGGCTGGGGATGTGGCTCAAGTGGTAGCGCGCTTTCCTGGCATGCGTGGGGTGCTGGGTTCAATCCTCAGCACCACATAAAAATAAAAAATAAAGATGTTGTGTCCACCGAAAACTAAAAAATAAATATTAAAAATTCTCTCTCTCTCTCTCTCTCAAAAAAAAAAAACTTGGAACTTAATGGGCAAAGACACTCTGGTTTGGGTTCTTCCAGAAGCCAATTCCCCTTTAAAAATAGAATTCCCCTTATTCTGTGTTTGTCTGACGTTTCCTTGGGTGTACAGTGAGGATACTCTAGTGGCTATTAGAATGAGACATTTCATCTCTCATAATTTTGAAACAATCTCCCCATAAAATCTCCCCATGAATTCTGAGAATGTTCAGCTAGAATACTGCACAGATGACATTCTGTTTTGATCAGAGCATTATATTTGAAGGCACACAATGGCTTATCATTGGTATCTGGTCCTCATTGGTGCTGTTAGTTGTCACATTGAATAATTACTGGGGTTTATTTTTCCCCAACTAACTAACAAGCAATCTGTGAGAAGACACTTTGATTATACAAAAACTGCTACTCACCAAAATTTTCCCCTAGAAAGGTTGACAAATGGGTACTAAGTTATACTTAGGTAGAAGAAATAAGTTCTGGTCTTCCATTGCACAGTAGGGTAACTGTAAATAATAATGATTTATTTGTGTGTTTCAAAAAAACGAGAAGAAAGGAATGTCAATGTTTTCACTGCAGAGAAATGATTAATTTGTGAGGAGATATGTTTATGTTGATTTAAACATGATGCAATATACACATAAATCAAAACACCACATGATACCCTGTAAATATATGTACCATCCACATATTTTTCTTTAAAAAGACATAAATGGGCCTGTTGTGGTAGTGCACACCTGTACTCCTAGAAGCTCAGAGGCTGAGGCAGGAGTATCACAAGTCCAAAACCAGCCTCAGCAACTTAGTAAGGCCCTAAGCAACTCAGGGACAGCCTGTCTCAAAATAAAAAATAAAAAGGTCTGGGGATGTGGCTCAGTGGTAGAGTACTCCTGGGTTAAAAACAAAAAGATGAATGAAGACATAAATATAGAACCAACTGCATACTAAAGTTTTGTATGTGATAAAGACAACACTTTAGCCATCTTAGAAATAAGGTATTGGATCTCACACAATGCATCAGAATAAATCTGATCAAATATTTTAGTGAAAAATACAAATAATAGAAAAAACGAAGTATATCTCTATAACCTGGGACTGAGATCTATGACTTAAAAATCTGGAAAGAATACAGGAAAAGTATCAATTACCTAAAAATAAAAAGTTTTGCATGTCAAAAATGCTACTAGCAAAAAAAAAAAGACAAGTGACAAAAAAAAACTTTTGCTATTTACATCAAGCCCAGAGTTGATATTCCAATATAGAAAGAGCTTCCCAAACATAGAGAAGGAAAGCCAATACCCTTAGAGAAAAATGAACAAGATTTTTGAACAGAAAATTCCAGAAGTGGGAATTCAAGATCAAATGGGGCTGGAGGTGTAGCTCAGTAGTAGAAAACATGCTTAACATGCATGAGACACTGGGTTCCATCCCTAGATCTCTACCCACTCCCCAACAAAAAAAAAAAAAAAAAAAGAGAAGGAGAAGGAAAGAAAGAAATTTAAATGGTTCTTACTATGTGAAAGGATGTTCAATCTCACTCACAGTAAGGGAAATACAATTTAAAACAACATTGAAATACCATTGATCAGATTAGCAAAAAATTACAAAAGCCACTCTGGATCAGTCTGTCAGCAAACAAGTACTGTTAGACATTGATGGTGGAAATGCAAAAAGAAGATCCCCTCTGGAAAGGAACTTGGGCATGCATAGAAAAATTACATATGTGGTTTATCCTTTGAGTCAGCAATGCCATTCTAAGTCTCTAGCCCAAATACATACTGAAAAAAAAACATATGAAGTAATACATGTAATTCACTGCAGCATCATTTGTAATAATAAAAGACTAGAAACAACTCAAATTTCTATCCGTAGATGACTACCTGAATAAATTATAGTATATACATACAATGGAATACCATGCAACTATTTTAAAATAATGGGAAATATATCTGTATTTCTGCAAAGTGATCTCCAGGATATACTGGTATGTGAAAAAGCAAATTAAAATGAATTTGTATAGTATAACTTCCATTTATATAGAGATAATATGTACTGTACTCTCATTTATATATATATATATATATATAACATACATTTATATATGAACACTAACTGAATATTTTATAATGTGACTATTGTTTGCTTCTATATCTGATAAGAGTATAAAGATTTTTTTTGGGGGGGGCTGCTAGGAATTGAACTCAGGGGCACTCAGCAATTGAGCCACATCCCTGGCCCTATTTTTTATATTTTATTCAGAGACAGGGTCTCACTGAGTTGTTTAGTGCCTTGCAGTATCTAAGGCTGCCTTTGAACTCATGATCCTCCTGTCTCAGCCTCCCGTGCTGCTGGGATTACAGATATGCACCACTGCACCCAGATGAAGATTTTTTTTAAAAAATCTTTAAAATGAAGTATTAAAGGGCCAGGATTGTGGCTCTGTGGTAGAGCACTTGCCTAGCACGTGTGAGGCATTTGTTTCAATCCTCAGCACCATTTAAAAATAAATAAATAAAGATATTGTGTCCATCTGCAACTAAAAAAATATTTTTAAAAAATGAAGTATTAAAGGAAGAGCATGAGGAAAAGACTACCAGCAAACTAAGACGAATGGGGGGAGAGAAAGGAAGAGAGAAGGGAAAACATATGGAAATGGTAGGAGACCTTCAGTGATACACAAAAT